CAGGCCAAGCGACCCATCAGCAATTATCTGACCCGGATGGTAATGCTAATGTCGCTCTCTTCAGCTTGTTCTCTCTCTCTCTTTCTCTCTCTCTCACCCACCCACCCACACACACACACACACACACACACACACACCCACACACACACACACACACCCACCCACACCCACCCACACACACACACACACACACACACACACTCGCGCACATCTTTGGCAGACTGTCACCGTTCGGCCTCCTGATGAGTTGGTGAGAGTCTTAAGAAACAGTCTGGGACAGTTGCTTCTTTTTTTCTTTTTTTTCTTTTTTGTGGACCTGTGTGTAGCGAACATGAAAGCACATGCACACGTTCCGTGAAATAGGATCCCTCTCTCTCTTTCTCTCCCACCGTCTCCCATATGGATCAGGTCATGATGGACAAGCCACGATGGACAAGGGCATCCTTACCGGGAAATAGGATATCTCTCTCTCTCTCTCTCTCTCTCTCTCTCTCTCTCTCTGTGTCTGTCTGTCTGTCTCTCTCTCCCTCCCTCTCCCATATGGATCAGGTCATCGTCACCGGATAGAAGACGGGAAAGAGAGGAAAGTTAAACTGCACGAGGTGAGGAGATAGACTTGAAATAGGTTCTCTCTTTCTCTCTCTCTCTCTCTCTCTCTCTCTCTCTCTCTCTCTCTCTCTCTCTCTCTCTCTCTCTCTCTCTCTCTCTCTCTCTCTCTCTCTTTTCTCAATCTCTCGACGTTTGCCGCTTTCTCTCTGTGCGTCTGTCTGTCTGACTCTGTCTCTCTCGAGAGCGCGCGCGCGCGCTCGGCCACTACCGTCTTCCCCCGAACACAGCGCACCCTCTTCAAGACTGTATCAGACTCGAAAGATTGCTTCTATACATTCATGATGAGGGTGCGTTGTGTTCGGGGCAAGATGATGGGTTTCCTCTCTTCGTCGAAGACCTACTACGGTCTTGCCCCGAGTAGAACGTACGGTTATTATCGCTGTATCTAGACTGGAAGTCGTTCCAGATACAGCTACAGCGACCGTGCGTTCTATTCGGGGGAAGACGGTAATGTTGCGAACTACCAGTTAAGGGACACATCTTTCTATCCTCCTCCTCCTCCTCCTCTCTCTCTCTCTCGCCCGCCCGCGACACCCGTATCGCTCTCGTTCTCCCCGCGCCTCTATCTCTCTGTCCTTCTTTCCCCATTTCCCTTCCCCTCCTCTCCTCTCTTTCTCTCTCTTTCTCTCTCCCCCCGTTCCACTCCGTCTGTGATAGCTGGGAAGTTTATGGGCCTCGCTCAACTACTCTCTTCCACATGCACAAACGACAGAAAATATGGCGGTGTATCTTGCCATGTTCTAGCGGAAGATTCATTCTACGTTACTTGGCGCGCAGCACCATCTTGCCGCGAAGGTTGTCATCGTCGATTTACAAGATGAAAATTTGCCGAAGGAGGCAGGGATGCGAAGAAAGGAGTCGTGTCATCCTATGCGGCCTGCATTGTGACCTCCTGAAGGCAGGAGGAGGTGAAAGAAAACAAAAAAGCGTCCTACGGGACATCCGTGAAAATTGGAACGATACAGAGAAAGAGGAAGATTACCATGACCCCTGCGCAAGGATGACACGCAAAAATCGAGAAATGGTCAAAAAAAAAAAAAGAAAAAAAAAAAAAAGCATATGGTTGGAGTAGTAGGAGTACTAAATTAATGGGCGGGAACGGCATACACAAAAAGACAAAAAGACAAAAAACGCGAAGGGCATACACAAAAAGACAAAAAAAAAAGAAGAAAGGGAAAAAAAAAAAAAAGCGGGAAGGCCACGAGTTTGGGCAGTTTGTCCGCTCCGGAATCGCGCCGTTGCCTGTCTGATCGAAGCTCAACTGCGCAATTGTCCCTGTGAGAACGAACCTGGACGTGCAGTCCGACCAGGTGCATTATCTGTTTTTGGACGTTTTCTCGTCCAAGTGCGTCGCGGCGATCGTTAGCTATGCTGGCAGGGGTCCCCTCTATAGGCTTAGGAGTAGTGACAGGTAGATAGGGAAAGGTGAAATTGAGAGAAGAATATATAGATTAGTTAAAAACATTAAAAAAAAAAAAAAAGATTTAAACCGTCGGATTCCGTACGGCATGCACGTGGCGAGACCGCTTCGATGCGATTCCGTACGGTATTGCCGACAACGCGATGCGATGCATGTTCAGAACGTGGCAAAAACAGATGATGCATCTGGTCGGGTGCTCGGTCATTAGGAGGCTATTTTTACCTAACCGCCGCATTGACACGTCAGCTTTTTGTTTTTATTTTTTTTGGCGACGTGCCTGTCCCAAGCGCACGCCCTCGAGAAATAGCCTGACGCATGTCGGATTCCTTCTGTACGGCCTACGGCATACACGTCCGAACACTTCCGTACGGCCTTCACGTTCCTTCCGTACAACATGACCGACCTCGTACGGCATACATACACGTCGGATTCCCTCCGTACAACATAGACGTCGGGATCCGTTTCCGTACGTCATACATACACGTTGGATTTCTTCCGTACAACATAGACGTCGGGATCCGTTTCCGTANATAGACGTCGGGATCCGTTTCCGTACGTCATACATACACGTTGGATTTCTTCCGTACAACATAGACGTCGGGATCCGTTTCCGTACGTCATACATGCACGTTGGATTTCTTCCGTACAGCATACATACACGTCGGGATCCCCGCTGCACGGCATACACACACGTCGGGGTTCCTTCCTTTCAGCAGACATGCACGTCGGGATTCCTTCCGTACGGCATACATGCACGTCGGATTTTTTCTTCCGCACGGCGTACATACTTGTCGGATTCCTTCCGTACAGGATACTTACACGTCGATCCCCTTCGTACAGCATACTTACATCATCGGGATCCCTTCCGTACGCCATACATACTCGTCGGATTCCTTCCGTACACCATACATACGTCGGATTCCGTACGGCATTTCGTTTGGGAGGGCGGATTTGCCGTATGACGAGGCTTTTTCTCGAGAGGGTATGGTCCTGGGAAACACGAATGAAAAGGAGAGGGAGGGGGGGAGGGGAGAAGGAAAGGCAAATCAGCCACCCAGCTCGTGTGGCCGAACGGTACAGCCATGTAACTGCTGAGTTCGAATCCTGATGGGAGTCAGACGAAAACCTTGCCAGTTTGTCGAGGATCCATTTGACTGGTGCCCTCGGGGACACACCACGTCGCCCAACGTTGGACTTGCCCTTCAGACAGACAGGTGCTTGACTTCACTCTCGCAACCCTCGCAATCCTACCGTCTTCACCCGAATAGAACGCCCGGTCATTATATCTGTATTTGGCACAACTTTCGGTCCAGATGCGTTGATAATGACCGGGCGTTCTATTCGGGTGAACATGGTAGCAGAGCGGCTCTGTTCAAACCCTTGACAAGACCGGCAATGAGAGAGAGTTGTGACCAGATGAAGGTGTCTTTGCCTAAATTAATGGGCGACGCAGTAGGACCACTCGAGGAGGGAGGGAGGGAGGAGCGCTACACCGGGCAAAACAATGATCAGTCTAATCATGACAAGCTAGTGAGGTTCAGCCTCCAGTGGTGCTGCAATTGTGCCAAATTCTCACGAACACGGCCAATTTAACCGAAATGCCTTTTTACAATTAGGTAGGTACATATCGGTAAGGCCCGATCTTGGACGGAGGCCATCCTATCTTCGTCAGGTATTTCTCATTCGGCATTCAGAACATGTCCATGGTATGCCCTGCAGTCCCCCAGCTGGGTGAACCCTTGGTCTAGCACATTGCCGGTTTCATGCTTTGAGTACTGCTTTTGCCTTTATCAGCATGCATTTAGATTGGGAAAAAAGTGCATGCTGTAAGTACCACTTTTGCCGTCAGCACCATGCATTTAGAACGGCAAAAGGAAAACTACGGTGCTGATGTCTTGTTCCATTATCTTATCGTGAAAGGCGAACTTGGATCTCTCTCTCTCTCTCTCTCTCTCTCTCTCTCTCTCTCTCTCTCTCTCTCTCTCTCTCTCTCTCTCTCTCTCTCTCTCTCTCTCTCGTTCGTTTGCTGTCACATGGTCGTGGTGTCTCTCTTGCTCCCTAAACTCTTCTGTATCTCTATTTCTAGTCAGAAGGTGTGTAGGCCCTACCATTGCATGCGTGTGTCGTTTGAGTGTATGGGCATAGTATTTTTCTGTGCTTTGTGCATGTGTTTCTGCATTTGTTGATGTGTGTATGTGTTGTGTTCCATGCGTGCGTTTGCTTGTATGGTGCCCACATTGAGTTACTGCCATTTGTTGGTGTCTGTGTATGTTTTGTGTGACCTAGTGCGTGCTGTAGACATGTTGCAAAATCCGAATGGGAGCAATTCCCTTCTTTATATTAACCAAATATTGTATGTTTATGAACATATTATAACGCAGAATTGGAACGCTGTGGCTGGCCGTAGATGCATGTGACATGGGTGGACATTATCTGTGTGCAACAGGCACTCGTCCCACTGTATTATTTTGTGGTTATGTGTGGTGTGTTCCATTGCAAGGAGGTGTCCCGGCAGGGAGGAGCAGGGTTGTTAAGGTGTAGGTCGCATGGAAGGCGATGGTGGACCGTGTATAGATTGTGTGTGTATTTACTCTCTCTCTCTCTCTCTCTCTCTCTCTACATATCTGTACGTATATATGTATATGTCTATGTATATGCATATGTATATGTATATGTATATGTATATCTATATCTATATGTATATGTACAATGAGAGCATGATGGGAGTTTATGTTTACACCGATGCAGGTCGTCTGTCAGCAGGGCGCATTCGTAGCCGGCAAAGATGGGAGGGGGAGGTGGAAGTCCTGGGGAGTTCACCTACCCTAAGGGTGTCTGGTCTCCATCGGGTGGCTGGTGGTGTGATCCCAAGTACTGGAGGAGGAACACTGCGTTTGCCTTTTTAGGAATATTTGCGGTTTGTATCCCGATTGCGATGAAATCGGCGGAGTTGGAGCATCGACCTGTTGGCCCCATCCATCCAATTCCGTCGCAGATGTGGTGCAAGAATATTGGCCCACCCCCAGAGCAATGAGCGATGGAGGTTGTGACGGACAGTGCTTCAGGAATGCATTCCCTTGCCAGTGAGGGGAGAGAGAGAGAGAGAGAGAGAGAGAGAGAGAGAGAGAGAGAGAGAGAGAGAGAGAGAGAGAGAGAGAGAGANGAGAGAGAGAGAGAGAGAGAGAGAGAGAGAGAGAGAGAGAGAGAGAGAGAGAGAGGGGATGGGGTGTGCGGTGAAGCAACTGGTTTTGTAACTTCTTCGGAGCTTGGTTCGACTGCGTATTCTTTGCTTGTGATGTGAGGGCATGGACGTGCAATACTTGCGCCAAGGTTTCACGGCTGGCAATGTGGGGACCACATCAAACTACTGGGGTCAATGCATCCAACCTTCAGCGTATTCGCAAGCTAGCGCTCACACAGGTGCCTCTTTGGAAACGATACACCCATGCATGAGTCCTACACACAGTCACAGAGCTGTCTCGCTGACGGGGATGAAGACAAGATCTTGTTGTCAGGCAGAGGATCGCGTGTCCTGGGTTGTGGAGGTGATGCGTTGGTGCCCTGAAAAGGCAGTCCATTTTGGATCAGTCAGCAGCGATAACTGGTCTGGTTATGGGACGTAAGATGCAAGCCTCCGCTTATTGCGGCGGTGAGTCCGGTGATATCTCACCTTAATCGACTGTACGTTTAACTGGAAAAATTTGCATGAAGGGTAGTAAAGCTTCTTCAGGTAGTTGCAGCTTGTCATGGGCTTCAGGCTGCTGTGCAGAAGGGGAAACCAAGGCTGCACTCTTTTAATCGGCTTTTGGGACTATTGTGCCGGCTGCAGAAGGCCGTCTGTGTGACGGTGATGGCGAGCATGGTATCTTCATGGTTTGCGTGTTTAATTCCAGTATCAGGCTGTCTATCAGCTTTGCAAATGGTCGCCCAAGGAGGTTGTTACATCAACTTACATGGCTGCATATATACTCTTGACAAGGATAGCTGCATATCTTTGTTCAAGCCAAGCGCCGTACGGATGGCTACGCAACAAGCAGAGTGCAAGTCGATCGTTGCAAGGATGGGTGACCTCAGGAAGTCCACTTCTGCTCTTTCTTGTGGGTAGTTTGGGACTAAGAGGCTGAAGGGCCGCCGCCGCCTTGCGGCGCCTATGGTCGGTCGCCTCTGCAATCTCTCTGTGTCGCATATGAAAAAAAAAAAAAAACTGTAGTCCAGCGCGGAGCGGATTAGCTTGAGAATCCGTTTATCTTGGATTGCTCGCCGGAGATGATCGTATACAGAGTTCCATGATTTACGTCTCCAATGATCCTTCGGCCTCCAGGGATCCTTCAATATTTTTGCTTCTGCATCGGAGCAAAAAACTAACTCCTTCATCTGCATCAAAGAAAGAAAAACAGTAGTATGCAAGTCCTGCTTCAGCATCGAAGAACAAAAAACAGGAGTACATATAAGTCCTGCATCTGCATCGAAGAAAGAAAAACAGTACTTCTGTTTCTGTGCTGCTCCTGATCCTGGATCGAAAGGGAAAACTAAGTACTTGTGCTGCTAAGTACTTGTGCTGCTTCTACATCAAAACAAAAAAAAAAACTAAGTACTTTGCAACGTCCAGGGAGAGTTGACATGGAGGTGACAAGTCTTTGCTAAAGGCTGGCAGGCCGTCGCGGAAGCGGACGTGGCAAAAAAACGAGCATTGGCTGCATAGCAAAGGGATTGGCTTTTCTTCTGTGTTTGTTGCAGTTTGCTGGAGGCGAGCGGGAGGGGTGTTCTGCAGAACGGCAGATGCTGCCTGGTGGGGATACCCTTTCCGGCGGGAACGGAACAAGCGGGATCTTGGGGGAGGGAGAGGGTTTCCCAAATTGCGTATCTGCGCTCTGGAGGACGTCAGGTTGTCGGTCCACGATCTCTTTGTCGATAGTCTGCCATTTCGACCATTTCATCGCCACGCCGTCACCGTCTTGGTAGTATAGCCATGTGCGTGTCTGCCTCATTGTTTTCCGCGTGCCTACTTTACGACTAGCTGGGAAGTTCCGCTTGTGTAGTTATGTGGCCCTTCTCTTGCAGCCCCTTGACATTTGTCTGTGGTTTCTTGTTTTATGCTTAAACTTTGGCTGTTCGTAGTAGAATTGGTGAAGCCTGTCTGTATTTGAATATGTGTGGTTGGAGTAATAGAAAATAAAAATAAAAATAAATGAATAGAATTGATGAAACCTGGCACAGAGATGTGATTGGCCCGAGTAATAGAACTTCCTTCACTCTTTTCTCAATTTCTTGTCCTTAAAAAAGGAAAAAAAGAAAAAGAATAGATTGCCATTTTTATCTTGACGGAGACGGAAAGCGGAACAGACATCTTGGTGTGAAACGGACAGTTGTATTATTTACCTTATGAATGAATATAATATAATTTTGGGGTTATAAACTTTGGCTGTTCGTAGTAGAATTGATGAAGGCTTCTGCTTCTGCGTATTTACCTTATGAATGAATATAATATAATTTTGGGGTTATAAACTTTGGCTGTTCGTAGTAGAATTGATGAAGGCTTCTGCTTCTTCTTCTTCTTCTTCTTCTTCTTCTTCTTCTTCTTCTTCTTGGATCTCTGAGTACAAGAGAGCAAGGGAGCAAGGGAGATGATGCTTGGTAGGAGTGAAGTGTTGATTGGGGGCAAAAGGAAAAGTAATCAGGATCCAGAACTCTCTGATAGCCTGAGCGCGGTGTGTATGTGTGAGATGACTGAGGGGGGAGGGAGGGGAGGGAACAGACAACTGGAGTCGATTAATCTATAAGAGGTTGGGGGGGGGGGGGGGGGGGGTGTAGGGGGTAGGGGTAGTTTTCTCTGTCATCTTCTGAACACAGCATGCCCTTGCAAAGTTTTCGCTCGAAGCTGGGCCAGTTCCTCTCTTTTTTTTTTTTTTTTTTTTTTTTTTTTAACAAGGAACAACCCGGGTGTCTCCCCCGCCTATTGAACAACAGCATCCCGTGCAAAGCTTGGCACCCAATCTCAGAACCAGCGTTGAAATCACCAAAGCATGCGTGGATGGCTCATAGCGATTGAATTGTGGCTCCGGAAATTCATCCTGTTTCAGAAACCATGGCCTGTCCTTGTTGAAAGGACAAAGTTGGTAGATACTAGATACGCATGCACATACTTTTTTTTTTTTTTTTTCCTTCCGTTACCCACGATCGGGATCGGGCTCTTCTCAGTGTGGAGAAAAGAGTGAGGACTTGCTGTTTGGCAAACATGAGCAGCATGTTCATTAGAGAAGAGGGGGATTGAGTGTGACAAGTGAAGGGGCTCGGGTGACCATTGCACGTCAAACGTCTTGCAAGGTTTTTGATGTGACCACGGAGCTACCACTACTTTATTTGGCGTTCTCTCATTCACGCTCTTTTGTTTTTCGTTTTTTTTGGGGTCCTCGTTCCTGATCTTGAGGGTGAGGGGGAGGGGGGTGCTCAGGGAAGATTATTCGAATCCGTTTCTCCGTTTGGTGCCTTTCTTCAAGTTGGGGCTGGTGGCGGGTGGAGAGGGGGAGTTCTAGAGAAAGGGTTCGTGCACGTTGTTCACTTTTCCATAATATGTTTTTTTTTCTCCTTTTCCTAGGTGAGGGGAGGGGAGGGAGAGAAGGGGGAGTCCTAGAGGTAGGCTATGTGCAGCGTAGCGTTGTTAACTTTTTCACAAGGGTGAAAGTGGGGTGTGGCGGGGAACACCAAGGTCCTGGGAATTAGGCCTGATGTGCGTATAGCCCTTTGTGAGCCATACATCCCTCGAATGGCAAGAAGTGGCAAAACCCGTCATCAAATGGAATGTTATGGAAAAGGAGCGCTATTCAACCTTGGCATGTAAATTGTTTGTTTGTTTGATCTTTTTTTTTTTTTTTTTTTTTTTTTTTTTTTTTTTTTAAATCTTTTTGTGTCTGTGTTTTTGTATATGCCAGTTTCCGACCTACGGTGGTTGCTGTTACAGGAGCGCCGGAACCGGACAGCTTCCCAGGGGGGTCACCCTTCCTGGTACTATTTCGTCCACGCTGGAGCGGACGGCTACCGGGGGAGGTTTGTGACATGTAATATGTATTTACAGCACCAGTCAAAGACATGGGGCGTAGTACAATCCAGGCGGGGCTGTTTTTTTTCAGGCACCCGGGCACCCAACTGGTGCCTGAATACACGCCACACCCGGCTGCCTGTTCAGGGTTCAAGGCAGCCCGAACCGGACAAGGAAACTATGGACTGTTATGATGTATCATATTGAATTTGATGAACCTGAAGTACAGAAGCAATCTTTGGCCCCGGTTTCCAGCACCTGGGTGTCGCTCCCCACCAGTGGATGGAGCAGCCCGGCAGACAAAGCCTCAATTCCGGTGGTTCTCTCACCAGAGTCACCACCACTGGGATAGAGGCCTTGCAAAAGGGCACTTCTCCAAAAAAAAAAGAAAAAGAAAAAAAGTTGCGCAATGCAAACTACTTTTGGCGGACGGTCATATCAGAGACATCCTCACGGAATAGAAGACGAAAAAAGGAGAAAACAAAATCACACTAAGGCACCCCCCTTTACACCCCTTTAGCCCCTTGAAAAAAAACAATGTATAACCCCTCACACTCTTTGGCAGGCCAGACTCGAAAACCGAAAGGAGCCGAGATTTGGGCTCCTATGAGCATGCTTGGGCTGATTTTTGGCTGGACAGGGTGCTCCGTGCAGATGACCTGCGGGTGACTTGCTCGGCCGTGCTGCACGATCGAGCGAGCCAAGTAGCCGAGATTCCAGATAGATTGCAGAGTTGCTGCCACATTCTCACCACTGGCAATGCTTGATTACCTTCCTCGTATCAGCTTACGTATCTGGCCCTAATTACAGGCACATTTGGTCAGGAATGGCCTGCTGACCTTCCTCGTATCAACTACTATGTATCTGGCCCTAATCACAGCCACATTTGGTCAGAGATGGCCTAAGCCTTGAACTATGCGGTCTACTATGGTGTGAAGTTCATGGATCGCAAAACGTCAGGTACACAAATAAATAAACGAATGACGATAACTCAATGAATGAAGACTTGTAAGGACACGGGGTGACCAGTCGACTTCTGAAAGCGGCGTGAAACTTGGTTAGCAAGAAAGACATCGCCCTTCTTAAACCACCAGTACGTCCCCGAAAGTTGGGCGTGACGCATCCTGCCATCGATAAATTTTGTCAATGGCCCAAAGTCTACCCGGACCCGCGAAGCTTGTGGTGCCGACGTGTGGCCGAATGCTGGGCCAAGTACTGGTGGTACAAACTACCAACTACCACATTCGGCCACACCAACACCAGGTACTGGTGGTTCAAACCACCACTCTGTGCGAAGCTGTTTTTTACAAGCCTACAAAGTTCCTCACCAGTACTCTGTGCCGACGTGTGGGCGAATTAGCACAGAGTGGTGGTTTGAACCACCAGGAACTTTGCTGGAAAGGAATTAGCACAGAGTGGTGGTGGTTCAAACCACCACTCTGTGCAAGTGATGGGTGGGAAAGGAAAACTAACGGATTGGTGTGGGTACGAGTTTTCTTTGTATTTGGCGCCAGCCACTTTGGTCCGGTAGTACGCTTCACTCGCAACTTTCGGGATAGGCCACGCTCCGCCACTGGCCACATGCAGAACAGACAAAAATTAGGGCAGCGTATCTTTGCATGTTCTAGTGGAAGATTTATAAATTTTATTCTCATTTTGTGCACTTGGTGAGTGGTGGAGTGAAACCCATATCTACAGCCGCTCGATTTACCTGGTGTGCATGACCGTGGTTTGGAGAAAAAATAAAAATAAATAAATAAAAATTACGGAGGTCTAGCTCAGTTGGTTAGGCACGCAAGTGGCATTCAGGAGGTTGTGGGTTCGAGCTCCGCGGCTGCGGCACACTTAGTGCCAACCAGCGGTGATAGTCCGCTTGATACCTCTGATCGTCATTAGCAGGGTCCTTGGCCAACACGGGTGTGAGTGTGAGTGTGAGTGGGTTGTGTGTGGTGTGTGGGAGAGTGTTGGCCTTAGACACTGCTATTATTCAGTTGGGGGTGGGGGACAGCGAAAAGGGAGGCGCAGCTACTGGCAAAATGCTCGGTCTTTGCATTAGCCGGACCCCCACCGGCGGCCCCACCCCATCCTTGACCACCATGGTTGGGGCGGGGGGCAACATTCGTCCCCGCTGATGGGTGCAGACCGTGCAGTGACACAACAAAGCTATGTTCACAGCGGTCCCCAGTATAAGCCTTTGGAAGTCGGGAGTAGTGGTAGCCTGGTAGGTAGGTAGTGATGGTGGATTGAATGAATTTGAAAGATGATGAAAGATTTGAGAGAAGAATCTGGCATAGGTTTATTTAACTTTATATTATTATTATTATTATTATTAAATTTTAAAGGAAGAGCTTGGTAAATTCATGAAGGGCAATGCTATGTTATCTTTCCTGTACAGCCGTGTTTTCGAATTAGGAATGAGTGAAATGATGGGGGGCCATGTTTTCGAGTTAGGAAAGAGTAAAATGATTGAGGGGGGGGGGACCAAAAAATGACGAGGGCCCGCCACTTGATAAAACCTTAAGACGCACCCAGATTGTCAAATGATGGAGCGCCCCCGAGAGCGTAAAATTTGTAAATTTTAAAGGGCTAATTCCTTTCTAGCAAAGTTCCTTTCTCAGGTAGCTGCTGAGGATGGTGGGCCCTTTATTTGTAGCTGTAGCTGGCCCAAAACTTATCCCACAAAAGAGCCCACCACCGAGCACGGTGGGCTGGGTGGGCAGTGTTTTCTTTTCTTTTTCTTTTCTTTTCTTTTTTGTAAGTGTGTGTGTGGCCCCCCTAATACCCCCTATCCCACAAATTACGCTAATGGAGATCGTACAAAAAAAAAGGTCCACAGTGACTCACACTGTGTATTGAGAGGAACAGAGCAGCGCAGCTGTATCCATCCGTGTTCGTGCACAGCTGAGGCCACCTTCTTCCCCCGAATACAATGTACGGTCATTATAGCTGTATTTGAGGCATCTTTCAGTCCAGATACAGCTATAATGACCGTACGTTGTATTCGGGGGAAGAAGGTAGTTGGTATTTACTATATTTTGAACATTTCACGAAAAGGGTTAAAAAGTGCATTTTCTTCTTGCGCGCGTGCTGTTTGGTCTGTTTGATTGTCTTTTTCGACGTGCAGGGCACATTTTCCCAAGTGACGGCTGGCCCGCTTGGTGGTCATTATCTGGAAGCCATTCTCCACTTTCCCCACAACTTTTCACTTGTGGGGACCACAACAGAATGAGGGCAAGCGCCCTGTGTGGTATGTACTTATGAGAGAGAAGAATGAGGAGATGGTGGTGTTGGGACGTGAAGACGGCTGAAACGAGGGCGGAGAAAGGACACAGGGAAAGCGATAAGGATTGTAACAGATGGAATGGGTTTACCCCCATGGTATAGCTGTCAGCCGCGGAGACAGTCTTGGATACGCCCGGCGTAGTCTTGGATAGGCCCGGCATAGTCTTGGATAGGCC